ATTCTCACCTTGAGGTCCTCCCTCTGTTGCAGATCATCCTTTAGTAGGGGCAAAATCTGTGCCCTCTGCCTCAATAAGATGTCCTTGAAAACTCAGAGGCAACCAGCAGACACCTGCTTCTCACAGAAATGTACAAATGAAAAGGAAGCAACATGATGCTTCCCGGCTTTAAAGATGATGTTAAACATGCAATAGCATAACACTGGTGAGTTCAGGCTGTCAGGAGTCTACATTGCTCTCTGCAGAGTTTAATTTTGAAAGTGATAGTGTAAGCTTCATTTCACAATTATCAGGCATCTTTCACTGGTGGCCACCAGACGCAGAGTAGTAATAGAATAAAAAAAGCTGACTTTCAGCAGCGGTCTACTATAAATCAGAGCCACAAAATAAGACAGCCTGCAAAGTATTATCAGTGGGCAACACAGAAGCAACAATGTGCTCTGAAATATTACATGAAATGCTATTTGCAGGAATTAATTCAGACTATGACTTCTGTGAACAGTGAAGGTCACAACAAATGTCAAAAACATATAGAATTCCACCAACTCTGCAGATTAAAAATTGCGGTCAGATACATGAGTATGCTTTGCCCTGGATCAACAGCAATGACTGTCTACACCCACAGCAACATTGCCTGATAGTAAAGGCTTTGGGAAGTTAGCACCGAGTTGTAGGGGCTGATTACAGGGAAGGTTGAACAAGTCTATGATTAGTAAAAAAACCCAGGAATTAAACAGAGTAGTCACCTCAGCTAAACACAAGAGGGAAGCTGCCCTGTCTGCACAAATACTTGCCTCTAGTCTTTAGTAAGGCCAACATCAATATTAACATGATCAGTCATTCAATATTTTTCAGTTTTACCCCTTAAGTAAGTTGGCCATACATGTAGCCTTGCAGTTGGACGGTTAACTTTACTGTGTGGAACAGGAGGAAAGGGTCAATGTTTTTCAGAGAGAGCAGGCAGGCGATATGGCAGCAACAAGGACTAAGACTTTTGAAATTGCTGACAAATAGAGAGCAGTAGCTGATGCCACCGGTAGCCAAATCCTCATATGGAATCTACACCCGAATTCAGTTATGAGAAAGTTGGGTTGCAGGTTTCATTTCCTTCAATATTGTGCTTCTCATCCCAAGCTGCCCTCTTTGTTTTCATTTCTTGATCAACCCCATCTAGGCTGAATGTCTGACAGCAGCTGTATTCTCTCAGGTGGAGTGGTTAAGTAGAACACAGAACAAAAAGACTGATTACATCATATAGTCAGTAGAGACAGGCCTATGCTAGTTAGGGAGGGTGGGTTACATATTATTTTAAAATTTAAATCCAGTTTTCAGCCATCACAGTAATCCACTTAAGGCTTGGAGTCCTCCAATTTTTCTTCACTGCTTTCTTCTATGACAGAAGGCTCTGTCACATAACATCTCCCTTTATCTGCCTCTTGTCTACTATTTCCCTCCCCAGACATATGTTCTAGCTTCGATAGGATAAACCAATGCAGAGTTAAAACCTAATTTATACACCTATACTTGTTATATCCCCAAGGTGTAAAAGATGACTTCAAATTATATGAAATGGGTAGAAAAACTAAACTGAAATTAATAAATGAAACCATTTCATTCAGTATCTCAAGTGTAAGACAGCAGGAGTTTAAAACTTCAGTGCCAAAACCTAAAGTCTTACTGCTGAACAGAATACATGAAAAAGTAATTTATCAACCTGTTATGAAATTCTGTGGTAACCTGCTTCCAAGTTCAGTGTATTGTCTTGAAGGAGCTGTAAAACACAAGGTATTTTTCATAATCTGGATTTATTTTTATGCATTCAGGTGGGATATTCAATTAACACATTCAGTCTAAAGGACTATTTTGCCCATGATAAACTTCTTATGTCCTAATATACAATATTCAATACTGTAAAACATTTTGGACAAGGATAGATTTTTATTCAACTAACCTCCTAGTAAAATCATATAAAAATCACTAAATCTGAATCTATCTTCCCATAAAGTTCTGCAGAAGATTTTAATAATATACTTCCTTTTCCCTGTGTTTCACTGATATAACTGCAGAGAAAATTGAATTCTAACACGTAGATTTTATTAGGAATACAGTACTAGCATTTTTAACTATGGGTATTCTCATCCCTCCTCACGACTTCGGCAGATGCATCCAATTAACGATGAATCATTCTACATAAATTTCCTGTTTAGAACATACTGGCAATACCAGCATAACAACCTACAGAGCTCAAAATGGGGAAGAGAAACTCACTGGGTCACACATCATCATCATTTTTGTTTATAGACCCCCAAAAGGTGTTTTTTAAGTCAGGGTGCGCAGGTGTCCCAAGAAAGAAATTGTGCACTTTAGATTCCTAGATGAACTATCATTATGCTATTTGAAGAAACTACGCTATTATATGCAGATAGAGATGTATACGCTACACATTGTATACAGTATACAACTAGAGATCACTACTAGTATTAAGGAAAATTTGATTTATCGTGATCCTAAGCACTACTCAGCCTATTTGTAATAAAATTGTGCGTGAAGGAAATTGAGGATATTTCGATCGCAAAGCACCAGGACATATAAGAACAGACATTCTTCTGTACCATTTTACTCACTGAAAGCTGGGCCACAATTCCACAGAAGGTGCTGAAAAAGAAAAGAATGAACTAGACAAACAACCTGGTTCTGTTTATCCACGCTGTATCTTCAGAACAACTGAAGAAAAGTGCCTCTCATTGTCAAAGTAAAATAAAGTCAGAAGAATATCTGCCTGTATCGTCAACTGAAAATTTTGGTCAAGTTCCACTTTCTGAAGTGGAGAGCCCATTCTCATGCTACCTACTTTGTTGATTAATTTTTGCCTTCCCTGAAGAAGTTTGGGTTTTGTTTTTGGTTTTGTTTTTTTTTTTTCCCTCTTTCAGGAATTGTCACATCTTCTGCAGGAGCCTAATGCCCACATGCTGCTGAATCACGCTATAACGTCCTAGTTTCTGATCCCTCCTAGTGAGAGCTGTGGAGCTCCAAAAAGGTGCTTCTTTTATTCCTCAAATGCTCTCTTCTGGAAGCTCTGTAGTTGAAAAGACTCACACCATGAAGGAAACTGATCAGAGGTAACCCTCTCTTTCTTTTTTTAAATTATGATTGATAGAAGGGAACAACTTTTTCGTACATTCAGATACGAACTTTACATTTCAGTGGTCATACCTGAAGTTTGGGGCTTTTTTTTTTTTTTTGTAAAACAACAGAAAACATTTTTGGTGCCATAGACATGAAAAAGGTTCCCCATAAAATGTAATAAAATCCAATATGCCACTGAATATATATATATATATTTTTTAAAACAACTGATGAAAAATAGGTTGGTATATGGTTTCATTTCTCTCATCTTGAAAATTACTCAACTATCCTCTGAATAGCCCAGAATAAACTTACACAGCATGTGGCCATTGCTTAAACACTGCACTGAAAATATTTCCGTTCCCTTTCATTTGAATCACTTTTCATGTATTTTGACTTCAGCTTTCAGAGTTAGAATGCAGTGACAGGAATCTTATAAGCATTTTTAAAGGTATGCAGGAGTACAGCACTATGTGATTTGTGAGAATGGAAAAATCCATGAACAACAAAGACTACTTTTTTGGCTATCACCTTCTTCCTAGTCTTAGGGGGCAATTTTCTGTACAAGCCTATTGTTCTCGATCAGGCACTGTAAAGCGTACACTTAAATGAAACGCTCTCCAGTGCAGGGAGCAAGTTGTTTTTCCTCCAGTCTGGCTCACTAATGCTTAAGATTTTAAGGCTTTTACCCTTCAACAGAGAAATTGCTTTGAATTTTATTATAAGCTGCTTCTCATTGACCATTTTGATTGCTGAGGTTTTAAAGAACACAACCAGAAACATTCCAGATCACATAATAAATAAAACCAACACAATAAAGGTAACTAGGTCTTTCAGAAGCCTGTAAGGACTCCAGGAGATGAGCAGTTCATTTCTTCAAGCTGAGCAGAGAAGCATGAAATGAACTTCAGCTTGCAACAAACTAGGGGGACATGTAAGAAGGAACATGTCCCATTTTAATATTACTTAATACTGGGATTGACAAGGCATTGTAACAGCAAAGAGGAAGATCCTGTAATGGAGGAAAGCCTCAAATCTAAAGTGATCTGGAGGCACCAATTATTTCAAGTGATGACAATTTTAGAGGTCTACACATGCCAGAATGTAGTTTCTATTTTAAAGCACTATAAACAGTCTATTGTAACTGAGTGGAACAAAATTCCATCGATTCTTTAGAAAATTAACTTAAGAAAACTCTTGGAAAAAACAAGTAGAAAGCTTGCTACTAGCTCTAGTGATAAACTTATTAGTTTTCACTCTATGCAAAGGAAATGGAACAATATTAAGGTGAATGAATTTAGGCGTACATCAAAAAATGAAGGATTATGCTGCCAGGGAGTGAAGGATTATCATCACTTACCTCCCTCATCCAGAAGCTTCCCACTCAGGGGCTGGGATGTATCTGAAGAGTAACATGTAATGGAAATTTGTAGCATTAAATTAACTGCAGCTGATTGGAAGCACCTGATGGAGAAGAGGTGAGAATACCTGCTGTTTTAGAAGTGTGAATAGGATAATCCCCAAATCTGACTTTCTGGTCTTCTGCCCTGACATTAACTATTAAGGTTAAAATTTGTCTGAACACTGGAAAAAATACTATAATAGTCAGTTACAATAAGCTACTGGAGAGTAGTTTTCCAGACCAATAAAAAGAAAAAAGGCTCAAGATATGGTTTTTTAACTGAAACCATAGCCTCATGACACCAGTAGTCAAATAACAAGGCAATACACCTAGCATCAAAAGCAGATACAATTTTTCATTGATCAGTACAGTGACACAGCCAAAAAACCCAAAACAAACCAAAGCACACCTATCATCTCCTCTGTAGACTATTTAAATACGTAAGTCAAGGCTACAGAAAACAAAATCTTACCTAGTAAGTGTGTACTCCCTGAGTCCTGAATGCAGGTTCATGGCGGAAAAAGTACCTATGCATCCACGCAATCGTTTATCTCGACCAATCTTCCACGTTACAAACAGTGGGCTGTTTTAGGGAAGAAAAAAAAAGACATGATCACAGAAGCAATATTGACAGTCGGTGTGAAACTTCAGCAAGAGTGCCCTTCCATTTTGCGCAATGGGGGACCAAATCTCTAAAATAACTGTATCTGAGCAGGCCGCAGTATTTAGAGGTGTCCTTTGCAATTCTTTTGACTGTTCTAGAAACGTTGCTCACGTGATATAATAGAAAATAAGGTTACTGGAATAGTTAATGGACAGAATGAAACTGCTTGGTAACAGATATGATATGCTCAGTATCTCTCACTGGTACCCATCAGCCTTCTCTTATGAATGGGAAAAGCCTTGCCTTAGGCGTCTGTACATAAGGAAGCCCTTACAGAAGGGAAAAAAAAAAAAACAAAAAAAAAAATCAAAAACCCTGTCACACTAGCCACCCCTCCACCTGAACACAAATACTTTGGTCCATAACACTGCTGGCAAGAACCTACCAGAGATCCTTGGAAGACAAGAAAATTTAGAGACACTCTCCAAACTTAAAGAACTGCCTGAGGAAAGGCTATTTTCTCCATGAATCCCAAGGTAGTATTTAAGAATCTGAAAACTTACCAGGAGTGGAGCAAAATCTCTAGTAAGTTGAACATGTCTCAATTATATGAGTGTGACACTTACAAAGAAATACTTCTACTATCAGACAACTTTGTACCAATCTATACACTAAGGTAACAAGAAAGACAAACCATGCAACTTTTGGGGACCAAAGTTTTCCTTACAGTTCTAGAGCACTGCATCAATACACAAGCAACAGAAAACTACACAAACTTGAATTTCTCAAGGGAGTACACATGGCTCCTGGGTACCCAGTCCTCTCAACTCTAACAAAGGTTTCTAATCCTGAGATGAACAGGGACATGTAGAGGAGAAAAGCATATAAACTTTACTCTTTTTCCAGAAAGGAGACAAATCAAAGTGGATTACACAAACAAGAGTGTGCTTTCCCTTACTGTTAGGCTTAAAAAAAAAAAAAATTAAAAAAGGCATTTCAGTTAAACAACTTGATCCAGAGTATTCTTGATCACAAACAGGTTCACGTTTCTGCCAAACAAGCAACCCCACCCTGCCTCCCCCAACTGCAGAGCACCTCCCCCTTAAATCCTGAAGTAAATCTGGTGTTAATTTTTGCGGAAAGTCGTAGGCCATTCAGGCATAAATATATATCATTCTTGATATAAAGACTACACCCACCCTGCACTAAAGCTGACAGAAGCAAGGTGCATCTCTGACATTTAGAGCACCCGCAACCACCACACACACACTTATGGATGCGCAACTGATTTCCCTCCAAAGTTATTTGATCAGGCACTGCTCTTCGGCATTATACATGTGTACAAACCATTGTGCTGAATTAATCTTGTTTTTCTTTATAGTTGTTTCCTACACAGTGTCCTTACTCTATAGTCCATAGGCACTGCTATGAAGATCAAGAAGTCTAAGATGAGGTAACCTACCTCAGGCTAGCATCTGAGAAGCAGGTTACAAAGCAAACGTAATTACCACATGTGCCTTTAAGGAGGGGAGCAGACCTGGAAGCATAGATACAGTCAAAATCCACAAAAAGTCAAGTTGGCTGCATCAAAAAATAAGAATAATCTTCTGTTAGTACTTTCAGCTGCAAATAATGAGCAGATTTACAACAGTGCACTGTAAGATTAACAGCACTGCACTGCAAGACAACCTGTGATAAGTATGTCTTGTCTGACTCCTCATCTGAAGGACCAGTAAAAATATAACCTGCAAGTTTCTCTGTATTTTGTGAAGCAGAACCTCCCTTTCTAGCTATGCTGAGATTCTTAAGATATACTAAAGCTAAGAGCTTTATTATATGAGCAGATCAGTCACTGCACAACTGCACGGATCACTGCACAGTGTAAGAGATGGATGTAACTGTACGGGGGGTACATACATATAGGTACATGTGCGGTTTTGGACCCTCAAGGAATAGCCCATATTCCTTTCCTCCTTCCACCCCATTCGCTTTGTCTGGTGTGGCACAAGACATTCATCGTGTGATGGCAGAAAAGGATATGCCCCTCAGTCTCCACAGCACTAATGCAGCAGCATCCAGTCCTCTCAAAACTTTCCAAAACCTGTTGTTATTGCCTGCTGGCACAGGAACCTCCTCCTTCTTTGATTAAACTCTACAAGTTCCTTTCTTTCAATGATGATGAGTAGAAGAGGAAGCTGAAGTCATATCTTTCTTTTGGATTTGGATTTCCTTTTATTTCTTTTTGCCCCCTCCCTTTTTTTATTTTTTAAGTTCTTTGGTAAAAACTGAAGAGCATAAAGCCAGAAGGGACTATTACCTAACATTTAGCAGAATGCAGGTTATTACACTATTCTCCATTCAGATCAACAGGTGGCATTTTACTAGCATTTTCAAGAAAGGTATCCCAGTTCCCCTAAATGGTATCAACAAAATTATTAGATCGCAATGGCACTGAGAACACTCTCTCCCCTTGCACAGAAACAAGCTTGAATAAGATTCAAACTGGACTTAGGATTATTCTCTTGACCTTTATCTTTGGATTATGAGATTTATTAGCTGTAATACACTTAGCAGAGGGCTATAATTCAGGGAAACATATACGCATTTAGTTTCTTGTCAAAACGTAATTCCTTCTAGGATGCATCATTACTGCTACTTTAAAAGGACAATAGAAGAAAACATCCAGAGACCATCACTGAATGTCAAATAGATTACTGAAACATTTGCCTATGCTTTGAAGGTCCTTGTCAATGAGTACCAACAGAAAAAGTAAAGGTTATATACACACATTTTTGTACTAGTGGTAGTAATAGTATAAACATACCGTTTGGACTAAATTTGAACCTCTATCCATTGGGTAAATGAACCACCACTGGTAGCCATACATCACAAAATCTGACTAAAGATGTTTTCCCAGCCTTTCAACTTCTGTATTCCCCCACACTTGCCTCTCTGTTTCCCAGGAGCCACTAAAGGTATCAGCATGCCTACACGGCAGATACAAGCCTACTGAACAGAATTACTTTTCTTAATTACCATCACAGATGTCTTCAAAGTGTAATACGCACCAAAGGTTTAGAACAGTCAGTGACCCAAGAGGATTCTAACTCTTAAGATTCAAGAAATAAGGCTGAAAGGGACCTTCAGGGCTTCTGTTATCATAAGGAATAATTAAAGTCTTAAAAATTGCTAGAAACAATGGGGACAAAACCCCCAAAAAGAAAAATTAGAAGGTTGCCTCAGAACCTCACTGAAGTTCAGAACCTCTGGAAACATGCCGACTTCCTGCCAACATGTTTTCCCAGTCAGCTTGTACCTAGCTATTCTTGTGCCAACATTGTCCTTTAGTTTAAATAGTTCTTTTCCCGTCCTGGTTATTATTCCCCAAAGTATTTATAGAAAGAATTTGTATGCCTCGTCAGACTTCACTCTGCTGAGCTAAATGGGTTGTGTTCACTCAGTTTCCTCTCAAAGGGGATCTTTCCATTCTGACCATCACAGCTCTTCTCTACTCCTTTTTCCAGTTTAAATTCCCCTTCTTGAACATCAGTGACCAGAACTGTACGCAGAATTACAGAGGAGGGTCTCGCACCTGCATTAATGCTTCCGTCTCTGAACTAGAAACACTGACTGCTACATTTTAGGATTAATTCTCACAGTCTAATACAAAGTCCAAGTCTGCCATTCAAAACTTTACAGAACATTTCTAGTCTTAGACTAAACAAAGACAATAGCAAACCTGCTCATAGAACCTAGACGAGCTATGCAGAGAAAAGAATTTGCTACTTTTTAGTGATGTTCTTTGGCTTTTTATTGGCAACCTTAGTTTCAGCTGCTTGCCTATTTTCTCCAAGCCTGCAATGCTTGTTTTAAAGCCAATAACCCACAAACGAACTCACCATCTAACATAGCCTCAGATCTCAGATTTGTGGTTAAGTGCCAAACTCCACAGATATCAATGTCAAGAACAGCTAAGTAAATACATACATTTTTAACCTAAAAAAAAAAATCCTTATTTTCAATCTGTTACCTGTTTTTCTTAGAATAAAAAGGAGGTTTTTCATGAGCAACACATTGTTAGACCTAAAATGAAAATTTGCACCTCCAGGCACTTGAAAGAAAACAGAAGAGAACAATAGAAGAGAAAATCTTCAGTAAAAAGCAGAAGAGGCGGCAGATGCGATGCTAGGAGTCCCTTTTATCCAATGATGTACAGCAAGGATACGCATCGCATGCTGGAGATCCGAGTCCTCTTTTTGCCTAAAGAAGTTTGAACCCACACATCCCACAAGAGTGGGAGAGCATACTGGGACGGAGCGTGCTCCCCTTGCTGACTCTGGCTCCCCCTTGATCTAGTATGAAGGCTGGGGGGGCAGGAGTGGTGGCGTTTGTTTGGTTTTTAAAAAAAAACATTCACTAAATCAGATGCGGCACTTCCCTGGGAGGGCTCTAACAATCAGCTTCAAGTAGTTCTCTTACTCAATTTAGGGTGAAGCATCTTATTAAAAAGCAAAATAGCTCCGAGCTTGGGAGTGAGCCCTCTTGAACCAAGGGACGCAGAAATTTACTTGTCTGATGGGTTATCCAGCTTCTCTTCATGGTGCCAGGAACCTCTGACAAACCCTGCTGACAGTGTTAGCAACAGGAGGGATACAGAGCACCTCGAATACTCAGTAGCTGAAAGCTGGTGGAAGATATTTCAAACTGTACAGAAGCAGAAGGGACCAAATCCAGACCCTTAGAAGCATCTGTAAATATCTTAATCATTCTTCTTTCATAAGAGTCTGTATTTTGTGATTTTTTCTTTGTTTGTGAGCCAGACACTGGAAAAATATTTCCATCTAAAACTATTTACAGGTGCCACAGCAAATTCACAAGCAACCTGAAGACTATAAACTTTCCATCCAGCCATTGCTTTATTTACTATTTATTGAAAAGTCTTGCCCAGCTCTAACCTAAATAGCAGGCAACTTTTTCAGTTACTTGCTAGAGGTTGTCAGGCACTACTCCAGCAAAACCAGCTGACCATATATATTGTTTTTCCCTACTTTCAGTTGCAAAACTGAATTAAAGAGACAGTTGCAACACAGAGTTTAAACTAATATTGCTTCCTTATATACAACTGGTGTCATCAAAAGGGGAATATATACATATGAATAATGAAATATTGAATACTACTGAAATACTACTACTACTGAAATAATGCATGTATCCAACACCCTACACACTGATCGTAAAGGCTAGCCAGAAAATGGGTGGCTGAAGCACAGGAGCATGGGTCACCCGATCAGAGTGCTGCGTCACTTCAGCTACTATTACACGATTTTCATTAATGAAGAAACTAGGACAGCCCTGTACTTTACTTGAGCATTAATGTGTTACAACTTTAGGAGAATTGTAGCATTTCACACGAAGGTTGCAAGGTATAAGCCTATAGAAACAGTGAAAGAAAGTATAAAATAGTCTCTTATACACCATGCTTACCGGTGCCCTAAGCATATTTCTTCTTAATGACTTACAATCAAAATCATCTAAACCAGTTATTGACCTGCTTGCTATATGTTACTGAAAATATTTGGACTGAAAGCAAAAGTGTGC